TGCTTTATGTTCATTGACCCCTATAAATGGAAACAATACCAGAAGAAGCCATAGTTCAGAATGTGTAGATGAACATCTTTGTGCAAAGCAAAGGATATTTTAAAGTTATTTATTTATTTACTTAACCTGTGATATATATAATTTTGCTGTGCATGTAAACCTGTTGCAGTGTTGTATATGACTTTTGTATAAAAGCTGAACATCTGTACCTGAAGTGATTTGATTTCAAAGTGTTTTACGATTTACAGTTATTATGACTCAGTTATTTTGCTGTTAACATATTTGTATTTGTCTTCCCAGATAAAGTTAATTTCCCATGGAGCTTGGCACTGGCAGATCTGAGTTGTTACACCTTGCAGAATGGTACGAAACTACATTTCCTGAAACCTGTGTCTGCTAATGCCACTGTTGGGATTTCCGCAAAGTATCAGAATGATGATGAAGTACTTGGAACTCTTGGTGTCTGTGTACATGTTGACACAACTCCAGTCAACATATCTCTATCTCAGGAGCAGGTGAGAGGTATTTCATGCAATATATCTTTAATTTATTCTGTCTTCTTTGAAACAGTTGTGTATTTATTTTCAATGAAATATTTGCATTGTTTCTTTGTGCTTAAAATCATTATCACCAGTTACTAATCAACTGTGATGCAGGCTGATTATCTCACCAAACAAATTCCAATTAGAAGCCACACCATAGTGTCAGGGGATTAAATTTTGAAAAAAAGGTGCTTCTGTGTTTACATAAATATAATATGTTTTAAATGTGTATAGAATTATCATCAAAGTTAATACATATAATTCCTACTTTTAAATTCCAAATAGATGTTGTTTCCTAGGTCTGTCTGATTATTTGGAGTTTTATTGCAGATGAGACTGATGACAAGTGTGCTTTTGGAACTTTTGGAATTCTTCTCCAGTCTCCAGTTCTTTAGCATCTTCTCTTCAGAAACTGGCTCAGCTCCAGACCAACCCACTCCGGTTAGCCCTACCATATTTCCAGAGAGCAGTGGCAGCAGGGAATCTCCAACAACTCCTCTTGTCACACAAGATTCTAATGAACAACGTGAGTTTATGCTGACACATCTGGTATTTTATATTTTTAATTAAAGTGAAATTTTTTTAAATGTCTGGAAATAACAACTTGCAACTTGTCACTCATTATTATGATGAAGTGAGACTGTGTCTATGGAACTGCAGCTGCTAACAGGCCCACTGTCTGGCCCCATATAATGCAAGTGAATGTGGAGCAGTGGTGGAAAGATATTGACAGGGGAAGACCACAGAAGTGAGAGAAACCTGTCTGAGTACCTCTTTGAACATCACACATCTCTACAACTATACTCAAAGATGCATTTTGTTTGTTGGCTGTTGCAGAAAGTGGGTTGTCTGAGCATTCAGATACAGTGAAAATAACAGTTTGGATGCAGTCAACACTTGCTCGACTCAGAATTTCACTATATGCGCTGAATGACAGTGCCCCAAAAGATGAGCTGAAGTTAACAGTAGATATGGAGGACATCATGACTTCTCTTGACCTTCAACCAGTCTATCTGAAAGTGAAGTGCAAGGTTGCATATGCCAACATTTTGCATTATATTAGGTAAAGTTTGGAAAATGGGATTTCAGCAAGAAGTGTGTTAATGTTTAGAGTCCTTGCTCAGCGTATGTTGGTTTTTTAAATATCAGATTCACAAATATAATTGTAGTTTAATAGGATATCCAAAAGATCAAGTAATAACAACAGATACTAAAAGTAAAAATACTGAGAATCTTGTAGGAAATATTACAGCTACTGAGACTTGTTCTTTGTATTCAGTGCATTCATATGGCTTGTGTGAAGTTACAGTAACAGTGGCCTCATAATTAACTTTGTTTCTAAATAATATGGTGATTTCACTATTCAGGCATTCTGTATGTATAATTTCTAAATGTATGAAGTGCAATTTCTGAACTCAATTATTGAAATTAAAGAAATTCGCATAAAATCACATGAATTCAAAATACAGCCATCCATCCACCCACCCATTCGTAACAGACTTTGGGGTAAGTGATTACACTCCTGATTTGTATTTAGTAGGTCATGGATTCAAATTTGGCCTATATACCAGCTATTCTGGCAACATCTTCAGTGGTTCTTTAGTCACTCAAAGCAAATGAAGTGATTGGACTATAGTTTTGTGTTTATTATGGCCACCATTCATATTACCTGAAGGGATTATTGTGGATACCATTGGTAGTGGCTTAATTTTGGTGATCTGATAGGAGCCATCATAGCCATAGTTTTTAGAGAGAGGAGGGTGGCAAACTCAAATTGCAACAGTGAAAATTCTTTATAGCTAAACTGGCTTGCTAATTAACTAACTGTCAGTCTATCTAACAAAGTAACTAATTATATGGAACAGAATCATTCATGAGAAACAAATAGTCATTCACCTGTTCAAGAAATTTTCCACTTTTGATAGAACCTGGAATTTCATTACTGTGTTCACAATAGCAAGCTGGAGGACCACTCCTTGTTGGCTGTCTGCAACTGCTTATTCAATATATTTGCAGCTACCCTCCATATCTGTAGTTTTTCTTCTCCATCTCTGACCTGAGGTCATGTCATGTGGTGTTAAAGGACCCACTTAACATGATTTCTTTGCAGCTGCTATACCATTTAAAAAGACAGAAGTTGTAGGTGGTTGTCAGTGTTTGGTAGAATACTTCCTCCATCTTCAAAGTGAACTTAATCTTCACTTCAGGGTAACATCTTTGCTGCTGTGAGAGTCTCACATCTCAGTTACAGTATGTCATTTTGTAACATACTGGTTTTTTAGAAAATTGATCTAATGCTTTTTGTTTGTTTTACTGTAGGAAGCCAAAGAGCACTTCTTGGAGGCTTGGTCCATATGCTGGTTTAGTGATGCGTAGGCAAGAAAATCTTGCTTCACCACCTCCTCATGCAGTTCATCGAGATGTGGATGATGGTAGTGGATTTCTCAGTGTCACATTTACATGTGCAAAGTGTCGCAATGTACACAGTCGCTGGGGTACTCGCAAACAGACAACACTGTTGGCAAATGCTCGGAGTTGTGACACCAGTGTTGGGTATGTTGAGGTGAAACAATATGTCTTTGTATGTTGTTTTTTTTCAGAGCAGGAAAATTCCAGAAGATATTGTCATCTGGGCAAGTTAAACATAATGCCAGTGCATGAAATATGAACTGAACATGACAGAATTAAATAATACAATTACTTTTTCAAATACTTTCTCAAATTTTGTATTTAGCAGGCATGGAATGAATAGTGTCTTTGTTATTTAAATATGTATTTTGTTGTGTTCATGCACAAATTAATTTTGAAACTTTGTATCAGAATACATTTTGATATTACTTGAAAGAAAATACAATGTATTATTTGAGCTTTTGATAGCAAAGATAAAGTATGCATTCCACTCCATCTGTATTTTCTCTGGTGAAAGAGATTCTTTGATCATAGATAGAAGTTGGTGTTAATTTTCACACTCTGGCTCCTTTTCTGCGAGTGAAAGGGACTCCTGTACCCACTGAATAGGAAGCTGGGAGGGCCTCAAGGACAGTAGCAAAGAAGCTAATTCCTGCCTCTGGTTGGGATTGAACCCCAGTCATCCCACTTCATAGCCAATAACTTTACTGAGTTACCCTAGCTCACAGATTGTAACTGTGTTCTTTAACATCAACTGTGTCATTGTAAATTTGTGTTACTAAGAGAATGATTATGTATTAAGAATCATAATGTATATGTTTACAGTGTTAACAAACTGATTTATTTCTTACATAGGCTACAGGATGATACTTTAGCTGCACGTTACATCAGTGAAATTGTCGTGAAAGTACAGCCTGTGGACTTTGTCTTCTCAGCTACAACACTTGGCAGTTTCCTCACAGTGATGTATCCAATCCTGAAGTTGCCAGAACATAAACAAATATTCTCGCAAAAGAAGAATATTGGTGCAGCCTCCAACTGGACAATGGATATCAACAACAGTACTTTGCCTCTTCTGTATCTGGACACATGCAACATTAGAATCATTCTTCCAGCTTCAGAGATGACTGTGGTTGGATACATGCATAATGTTTATCTGTTGCAGGTAGAAGCCATATCTCTTACACCACAGGTGAGTTCTCTTCAGAGCAGTTGACCTGTGATATTGTGTGTAATTATTGAAATCTGTAGGTTATTTTTGTGACTGAGGGAAATGAGAAATGCATGCAAAGTTTTAGTTAGGAGACCAGAGGGGATGGGACCACTTGTAAGACCTGGGTGTGTATGGAAAGATAACATCAAAATTGAGGAAATATACAGTGTGAGAGACTTGATCATAGATGATGTTAAACTATATTTTACAGAAATAAGTATGAGGTTGTAGACTGGATTCAAATGGCTCAGATTGAGGTTTAGTGGCAGTTTTGTGAGCATGGTGATGAACCTTTATGTTCTGTAAAATATGGTGAATTTTGTGACCAGCCAAATTCTGTTAGCTTCTCAAGAAAAAATCTGAACTTTTTTTTTTGATTAGTTGTATAAATAAGAAATTTCTGATCTAAGTCAAAGGTGACAGATAATATGAGGAGATCCATGGAGTAATATTATGCACTCTGATGCATCCACCTATCCATGTTTGCAGGCAGACAATCCATTGGGACGTATTGTGGTGCGCTCTGATATCTACCACATGGCTGAGCAGACTCGTATGCTGTGTGTTCCTGGTTCAGAAGTAGAGGACAGACAGTATCAGCTGGATATCAAGGGATTTAGTGTTAATACTGGTACTTGGCAGGAACTGGATCGTTGTCTCAGGTACATTTCATGTATTCATGTACATTTGGCTTCCTGAAAGAAAATATATATTTTGAAATAATATTTGTGTACTATATGTAGTCCCTTTATGTCATGTGATTTGTATAGGATTGAAGTCTGGGTGATGAGGCAATGGTGAAGCAACATACAGTTTTGTTTTGTATGGAATTTTTTAGTTAATTCTTTAATAGTGTGACTGGTTCACAGACAGTTAATATTTCTGTCTCTTGCTTATATTGCAGCTTGACAAGTTTGCAGACAACAAGCCTTCGCACCATGAGTGAGAACCCTGCTCTAGAGTGGAACAACTTGGTGTCTGGCAAAGAAAACTTCACCCCACACATGTCTCTCAATACAGTTATTGCACGATTGAATTTGTGCATAGTGGCAGCCCCGGCCATTGTGTATCATGGTAACATCCTTGTCTGTGGACATTCTCTAGAAGTCAATGCAGTTACTGATATAGAGGTATGATTTGCAAATGTATTTCATGACATGTTGTATAAAACATGATTTTTCTTATGATGAGGGAAGAACATACATTAAAAGTGTTTGAAAACAAAGTGCTCAGGAAAATATTTAGATTTAAAAGGGATGAAACAGGTGGGCAGGTTAAGATATTATATAAAGAAGAACTTTGTAATTGATGTAGGTCACCTATTATTGTTAAGGTAATGACATTTAGGAGGTGTTGATTATGTATTCTGATGCAGAAACCTCTTTTGAAAATTGCTACTTGGAGGACAAACAGGAAATTGGAGGAAGATATTAAAATGTATCTTAAGGGGGATAACTGACTTAAAATTGTGTCCAGTGATGAGCTTTGCTGTCAGCAATGTTGAACCATCAGTTTCTGTTAATAGTGAGTTAGATGGTTTGTTTGCTTAAATACACTACTTTTCCTCACAGTTTCTTCCCCCACCCCAGTTTTATGCAAGTTTTTCTGAAACTTGAAAATCATGAATGGTTGTCATCACTTGGACACTTCTTAGGTTAGAAGTGTTTTCTCAGAGTCACAAATTTTATTTATGTGACACAGTTACAGATGCCCATATTTATCTGGTCAGTAGCTCAACTTCATTGTCTTTTTTTGATGCCATTATAGTATAGCATCTTGTATGTTGGTCTCCTGAGTGAAACAGTCTAGCTGTGAGGAAGCTCCATCTTACATTGTGTTGTTTACTTGTAGACTGGATTGGTTATGTATTACTGTTTCCTGTCAGCATCAAAAGATTAAAATAAAGGATCCAGCAGTTTGCAGCTGCTACTTCAGAATTATATGAACTGTTGCATAATTTGGAAAAGTGATCAAAATTATTTAATTCAGACTCACATGCAGCTGAGAAGATGAAATCAATGCTAAGATACAGTACATTAATGTTCAAAAGTTATTGCACCCTTTCCACACTAAAACTGTGATTACTTTTCATTTATTGCATAGAATAAATGATATAAACACATAATTATACCAACTTCTTGTAATGAAACATAAAGCCAAATATTTTCATGCAGGTGAGTGGTTTTTAATGAAGTATCAATTTAATGAGGCTAATAATTGGAAGATTTTAAAAAAGTGTTTTGTGAATATAATATTAAATATTTGATTCATGTGTTGGTAATTTTAATGGTGTTGTTATTTGTTAATGTATATAATAAACTAACCACCATATTGAGTTCAGATACTTTAACTGGATTTGGGATTTTTGTGGCAGTGAAAATTTGGGTTGTGTTTTTTTTTTGTGTTATGGTGCTGCATAGTCTTGTGGGTGGTTGCCAACATTTCAGAGGAACTTATTACTACCATCTTTACTTATGAAATATTGTTAATCACCTACAATACATATCAGTGAAATCAATTGTTGATGGATCAATATTGACTTATATCATTGCTATACATTGGCAGGTATTGATCAGCATGGGGCAGCTAGTGCTAGCCTCAGCTCTATTAGAAGAGGTTCTGCTCTTGTTGAAACCATTTCTGGCTGACTCCTCAACCAAGACACTACCTCTTGTAGTACATGCTACACCATTAATGAAACCCATTTCAGAGGGCTCACTTGAGATGGAAATTGCAGGTGCCAACTACAACCGGTTTGTATTGCCTTATCATGCAGGAACCACATTTTGGATGCATTTTTAAGTAAAATCATTTATGTGTTAGATATTTTAAGTACTGTTCCAATTAATATAGTTCCATGCATTGTATTGTTATATGACATACTAATTTGCAAAAGACTGTATGTATTTTGCCATTATAATAATAGTTGGTTATTGTAATAATCTTTGATTATTAAGGCATGTTAATACTCCATATTTTGAATTGGGGTATAATATTCTATTAAGTTTAGATTTGTGTTTAAAGGTGACTGCTCATCACATAATTACCTTTATTTTAGTGAATCACATATTCAACAAAGAAATTAAATACTCGTCATTCTGTTGGTTTCAGGTGTGTGGATAGTGGAGTAGACTGTGCAGATGCATCAAGTGTTAGTGTGGTAGGCCGAGGTATGGGGTTCACAGGAAAAGAATGTAGTGATTGTAAAGAGACTAGAAAATTGACAGAGTTTGATGTGTCGTATCCTTATACTCATCAAAGACAAAAGCATCCTGGGAGTCCAGCCACAGTGAGTAAAAATATTTTGTATTTATAGTAGAAGAGTGATTAAAATGTCATGAGGTGTATTACATCAGAAAATGTGTTATTATTATGAAACAATTTTAAGTTTATATGTTAATGGGAGTTTCCTTTGTGACAACAGGCAGACACTGTCAGACAGCATTGGTCAAGTTGTGTGTGTGATATGTGACTGTGTATTAATTTATTTAAGTGGCATCAATTACTCTGCCTTGATACTTTCTGATATTAAACATTATGAAAATGTTTGTCCACTTTTATTGAATCTTTGAGTTCCTCTAATGAAATTCTCAGTAAGCAGTAAGTAATTTCTGTTGACTTTAGCCTTTCTTGCTGAGCACTGAAGATGTACTTTGCTTTTAAAACTGCTTGAGAAACTATTAAAGAATTATAAAATATATCGGACTGTCAGCAGTTCATTGCTAATGAGGGTCTTGTTTTTGGTTCATAATGAATTGTCTGGTTGTCATGCTATTTTGTTTTTAAAACAATTAATTTTATGAAGTTGCTTAGTTTTTAAAGTAAAGTGTTTGTTGTTTCCTAGGAGGTAACAAGCAAACGTGCAGTGTCCTGGAAATCAAATGTTGTATCAAGCACAAGCGAGCACCATCGACCTCAGGATGTTGTTCCTGTTGAAATTCTGCTTACAGCTGGCAAAGTCTCTTTTTCCCTGTATGAGCTGATGGAAGGAAATAACAGTGAACTGCATACCTATGCAAGCAGACTCAAACAGAAACTTGTCTCTCAGCATGTTCACAGCAAGGTGCTGTACGTTTTTAAAGAATTTTTAAAACCATTTTTAATGGTGATGAATTTATTCTTTTACTACATTCTGTTGCAGACAATCAATACTTGTTTATATCTAGGACTGTATCAGTGGTTTAATGTGATACAGTGTGAAACTCTGGTAAAAAGGCAAATGGTAATTAAAAACCTGAAAAAAGAATTGTAAAATGGGTACAAACAAAAACAATTATGAATTAAACTTTAAGCTATATAAAAAAATCTTCATGAATACAATAGACATTTTACCAGTCAGTAATAGCAAAAGAGTTATAATCACAGTTGAAAATAAACAGCAGAGAATCCATTGTACAGACTTTCTCTTTACCATTGCATTTTTCAAAAACAAGAAAATCTAGATGACATACAGATACTTTTGGGTATTGCAGTAATACTGGAAGAATTAAATTTTAATTATTTCATATGGTCTAGAAATGTGTTTTTTAAGAAGTACAGAATGTAAACTGAATAGATGCAGTTGTAGCTCCAGTGTAGTAGGTAAATGAGTTTTAAGAATTTATTTAGTGAAAACACAGTCATGGGACTAACATTCTGAGTGTTCCATTTTTAACTGTTTTTGCAGTGCCATATTTGTAATAGAGTGAGAGGCTATCTTTGCTCTCTCTGGAAGTCAAATGTTACTACTCAAACCAAACAGTTAACTTTTTCATTTCATTCCTTCTTGAGAAGCTGATAGCTGCAAAGCAGACTTCATGACTCAGAATGATGTAAGGTTTTGTAATATTTTTAAGGAAGTGTACACATATAACTTTTTTGTAATACTTGCTGGAACATTCCAGTATTTTCTATTTTTGCATTGCAGTATGACCTGAATGAAGATGTAGGATACGAAGCTGGTTCAGAGGAGGGTTCTGTTGAAGATGCAGTGCCTCCTCGCAAACACATTCAGCCGTTACTGTACATATTAATGGCGCAGCCTCATGCCTTCCTGTCAAGATTATCGTTCATGAATAAGGTGCAGGTATGTTGAATGGTAATAATTTTACTAGATATTCATGATATGTAGCTAGGAATAAGTTCTATAATTTATATACAAACCACTCAAAACTCATAACTGCATGCAGTGTGAGAAGCTGATAGTCACTGAGTCGGTCAGCAACATTCCCATGTTTTATGGAACCAGAAGGTTCATTACCATGGACCCTATTCTGAGCTAATTGAATCCACACCATGTCCTCACAATATTTCTTTATTGTTCATTCAAATATCCTAAATATAATAACTGTGCCTAAGATTCCCAAGTGGTCACTTCCCTTCCTCTGCATGCTGCATATCCCATGCATCTAATCCTAATAATAATTGCTAAAGAGTATAAAATGTGATGCTATTTATTGTGTAATTATCTCCATTCTCTGTTACTTCCCCTCTCTTAGGAATAAATGTTTGGATTCAAGTTGCTCGTGAGAGGGTGGCTGTTATGAATACAGTAATATGGTAATGAACTGTTGATTTCAATAAAAAGTTAAGAATTTCTTGCTCAGCTGAGTTACTGTCAGCTTCTCAAGAAACATTGTGCTTTGTGGAGTTAATTAGTCATTATGTTTGTAGTCTTCACTAGCAGTGAGGGATTACAGGTGACTGAGTGGGAATTACTGATGTTGAGGTGACAATATGAAAGTACTTACGAACAAAATTATAGTTCCCTTTTCCTAAATGTAACATATATATTTCCAGATATCTTGCTTTGACATGAGCATTACATCATCAGAGCAAGATCATGTAATCCCTCGAGGAATACCCCGTCCTGAAGACTTCTTGTCTGTGCTGCTGGAGACAAAGGGTGGAGATCCTCATCCTGACACAGGGATTCCACCAGCCTTTCTCACAGTGAAGTGGTCTGAATCTGTTGGCAAGGCTTCCAAAATAGAAGTCGAAATGGGCCGTCCGACAAAGATATATTATAGCATTGCACTATGGCGCTTCATTGATGATATCCAGAAGAAACTGAAGCACTGTTTTTATGTAAGTGTATTTAGTAATTGGTTGGTAGGAATAACACATGTGTATGGAAACATTATTGGAGATAAACAGTGTGGATTCATACATGACATACCTGTTATTCCAGCTGATATTAGAAAAACATACAATTTAATTAAGGGAAGTACTGTATGATATTTTTAGCTGACGGTTGAGGACCCAAAGAGTTTATTATGTTAATTGATCATCTGGGCACAAGCTGTATTGCTAGAGTTCATATAGGTGTGAAACATTTAAATACTTTAAGTTCAGTAAGTTAAACAAGGAGATAAGTGATGCTATTTATTGTGTAATTATCTCCATTCTCTGTTACTTCCCCTCTCTTAGGAATAAATGTTTGGATTCAAGTTGCTCGTGAGAGGGTGGCTGTTATGAATACAGTAATATGGTAATAAACTGTTGATTTCAATAAAAAGTTAAGAATTTCTTGCTCAGCTGAGTTACTGTCAGCTTCTCAAGAAACATTGTGCTTTGTGGAGTTAATTAGTCATTATGTTTGTAGTCTTCACTAGCAGTGAGGGATTACAGGTGACTGAGTGGGAATTACTGATGTTGAGGTGACAATATGAAAGTACTTACGAACAAAATTATAGTTCCCTTTTCCTAAATGTAACATATATATTTCCAGATATCTTGCTTTGACATGAGCATTACATCATCAGAGCAAGATCATGTAATCCCTCGAGGAATACCCCGTCCTGAAGACTTCTTGTCTGTGCTGCTGGAGACAAAGGGTGGAGATCCTCATCCTGACACAGGGATTCCACCAGCCTTTCTCACAGTGAAGTGGTCTGAATCTGTTGGCAAGGCTTCCAAAATAGAAGTCGAAATGGGCCGTCCGACAAAGATATATTATAGCATTGCACTATGGCGCTTCATTGATGATATCCAGAAGAAACTGAAGCACTGTTTTTATGTAAGTGTATTTAGTAATTGGTTGGTAGGAATAACACATGTGTATGGAAACATTATTGGAGATAAACAGTGTGGATTCATACATGACATACCTGTTATTCCAGCTGATATTAGAAAAACATACAATTTAATTAAGGGAAGTACTGTATGATATTTTTAGCTGACGGTTGAGGACCCAAAGAGTTTATTATGTTAATTGATCATCTGGGCACAAGCTGTATTGCTAGAGTTCATATAGGTGTGAAACATTTAAATACTTTAAGTTCAGTAAGTTAAACAAGGAGATAATTTGAAGATGACTGTCTTCTGGTATGTTGCACTATGTAGACTGGTAGACATTTACTGACATTTCAAAGGTGTTTGCTGCCTCCATCATGAGGGCAATGAGTCATAATCCTATTGATGGAGTAATTTTCATACTAGCCACTGTAAGAACCTGAAATCTCTCTTTCTTCATAATTTTTCTTTAGGCATTAAATTTTGATAATTTGGTTATGTTCTTTTTCTTCTCCATTTCTAGAAATTCATGCCCTCTCCACACTCAAAAGAAACATCTTGTGAGCCGGAGTTAGGTGTTTGCATGAAAACTGAAGAAGCCGCAAGAAACTTGTCTCATCATGATAAATATTATTCTGAAACAAATGTTGAATCACCATCCAAGGAATCACAAGAAAGTGGGACAGTGCCTCATTCTGAGAGAGATTACTGTTCTTTATCTCATGATCAGAATCGCCCATGTGGCCTTGTAACCATCAAAGATGATAAGAAGCAAACCTTCAGAGACAGAATAGGTTTGTAACATTTACTTGTTTGAATGCTCTGCAGTACATTTCCTTATTGTTAGGCTAGTAATGTATTTTCATTATTACATATAAATATAACCTTATGTACCTAGATTAGGGATTGGAATACAACATTGTAGCAGCCAGAAAATGCTACCTCAAACTGATTTCTTGAGAAGGTAATAGCCACTCTCTTTATTAACTGAAGTGTCCAAGATCTGAATTTTATTCCTAAAGCATTTATGATCTATCAGTATAGAAATCATTTTAGCATGCTGACAAGTTAAGAATTCTGATCACGCAATTTTCTGTGAGACATAAGAGGAGCAGGCATGAATCTGTGATATTATTTTACCCCAGGTGGAGTGGCAGCTGTTAGTATCTCAAGCCAGCAGTTGGTGTTTCAATTGTCTGGAAGGAGACATGAGGCTGAGATGGTTGTGAGTGTTGCTGGAGTGACTGGCACTATGTCTCGAATTGTTCGTGGTCAGGTGGACCGTGTAATGGGCAGCGTGGCTGTCAGCTGCCTTATGCTCACCACAGCCTTCAGAGGACTGTCACGACCTCTCCTCACTCCTTGGAGTAGCACTCTGGATATCTGCCTGGCCTGGGAACCTTGGCTGTCAAGTGACTCATCTCCACAGGTTAGCAACAGATAAAATAATGTTTGACAGACAGATTTCAAGTTCATACAGCAGCGAGTATGAAGATGACTTGTCTTCTAGGTTGCTGTGCTGTATAGTGTAGTAGAAGTTTACTGACATTTCAGAGGTATTTTCTGCCTCTATCATCAAGGTGCCCTATTTCTTTAAGATACATTTTTATAGAATTCTCCTGTCTGATATTAGGTCTCTTAAATGATCTCTTACATTCTGATTTTTCAACTAAATCTTTAAAGCATTTGTTATCTCCCCATGCATGCTACATGTCCTGTTTATCTCATTGTCATTTTGTCACATTAGTAATATGTGGTGAAGAGAACAAATTATAAAACTTGTTATTGTTACATCCTCTCTCTTAAGTTCACATACTCTCTAGTCTGTGTTTTAACCTTAGAGTCAAATTATAGTTTTGACTCTAAATAAAAATTAATAGTCTGTATATATATAAAAAATAATTTATATGTGTTTAAGACAACCAAAGTGGTATGTTGTAACTCCGAGGACTGTCACAGAGTGTATTCCAGTAGATAGTGGTCTCTTTTACTCGAGAAAGTAGGCCAGTATGATTTTTTATAAAATTTATCCAAAAGAAGAAGTGATATTTTAACAACAAAAATGTTTCTGTATAAGCACAATTAAATTATTGAGCATGCCTGGAACAACTGAGAGAATGAACTTTTTTGATTAATTATTGCATCAAAATACCATGTTGTTGCTTTAGACTATGTAGCTAGACTTATATAATTAATATATGTCACAGTTCTGTGCAAACTAGTGCTCTGCTAAGAGAGTGAACATGGAATTTATCTTTGAAAAGTTTGGTGAAAGTCTTATCAAGTCAGGGGGTTCTGTATTGATCACAGACTTCTGATTATGTAAAAGAGGGTTATGAGCCATGAAAGTTGAGAAATTTTCCCTTAAAAAAATGTAGATATCAGTGTATGCTTAATGTGGTATTATCTGCTCTGATTTATTTTATTAGGTTCAGCTAACAATTGATTCAGACTGCATTTTGGTGGATGTTGGACCAGAGCATCTTCATTCTTTACACTTGATTTGGTCAGAGTATGAGCCTTTCCTGAACTCATTTCAAATGAAGAGTAGGACAGAGTTGGTGGAGTCTGTATCTCATCCCCCAGAGCAAGATCAACATTACCGAGATGATCTTCGAGCTGGGGCTTTCCAGTTTGTAGATGCAAGCAGTGGATTCTCTCGAGATGATCTGCCACTTCCTTATCAGGTGGTATTCTGGCAGGCTCCACCCACTATGGCATGGAGATATCCTCAACCCAGGACCCTCACACGTGTTGATGTCTTTCCCGTGCCATTCAAGGTATGAATGTGAAGTCAACTTGTCTAGTACTTTGCCATGCTTCAGACTCCACTGGAATTTTTATGCAAGAAACTTCATATGGGTTTCTTCAAGACCATTTATGGAGAAAGACATTATAGATTAAATTTCATCTTCAGAACCATGCACTTAAACAGGCTTCTGAAACATTTACTCTTACACTTCACCATTTTTATCTCTGACTGACTGTTTAGTGTTTAATATGACAGAATATGATCAACACGAAATATCATGCGTCCAATTTTTAGTCAGCGTCTACAAAACTTCTTTGGTTCATCAATTGTGTGATGTCAAAACTTAAGTCAAAATCTGGTTTGATTTCTGAAATTAACTGTGCGTTTGTGTTCCTTGATTTAGGCATCAGAATCACTGGGCAGAGACGACATGGAACAATATTCAAAGAAATTGTTCTGCCATTTTTTCTAGAATTTTAGATTTGATTGATGTAGTAACTAACAGTAATTTACATTTGTGTTTAACGTCTTAAAAGTGCCTTCATATTGCAAAACAGACAGACCCTTGAGAATTATTATAGGTCTACATAGATTTGTGATGTTTGAGGTTCTTATGGCACCAAAGATGTTGCTGTTGGTCTTCTGGGTTGTAACACTGTGCAGACTTGTAAGTAGGCACCAGTGTTTCAGAGAAACATACTGTCTCCATCTTCATGATATTTATTTTCTAAATCACAAAAGATTGTCTCATAAAAGTAAATTTCAGTTAAACTGTGTCTTTTAAACTGATGCACAAGTATAGGAGCTATGTGCTCATAAATGAAATGAAGTTATTAATTTATTCAGTTTGGTCTGCTCTTTCTGACCTTTAGTGGTTGAACAGAAAATATTCTCACAAGTAATGAATGGATTTTTAGATGTTCAAAATCTTGGATTTTTATGTGCTTTAAAAGTAAAAAATATGCTGTAGAGAGTAGGATTTTTTAAAGTACCCATGCTTACACAGAGTACTCACCAAAAATCATATATAAAACAGAAAGTGAACCACTGTTGCAATGAACCATTTAAGATGTGCATCATAAATCTTTGTTGATTATCATGGAAGTCATTTGTTTTGAGAAAGTTTACATTCTGTATTACATGATGTCAGTCTTGCATACTTCTGACATTTGATGCCACTAACACTCAAGTCTTTCAGGTCTTCAGAATCAACCAACTTCAAATGATAATTGGAAATTGTCTCATTTACATTGTTCATCTTGTTGAATATGAATATGTTAATTTTTGTAACTCCACCACCTTCCCTCCATTTCCATTGTATCTGTTCATTACAGGTAGCAACAGATCATCTTGGTCAAGAACCAAAAGGCCAGGTATTGTGTTCACTGCAATATTGGAGTGACTGTCGCGCCTGCTATTTGCCATATGCGCAGTTTCAACTGTCAGAATCAGAGATGTATCGCCTGGAGCTACCTACTTCCCCACATAAGGTAAATTTACAAAAAAATGCTAGCAGATGTTTAGCCTGCCTACCCAAACAAACCTCTCCTCTTCAGCATGATATTCATTTGTCTGAATTTCATAATTAGAGAATGGCTGGATGGAAATTAATGAAATTTGGTGCGAACGTTATGCCATGTTTTTGATTTTGGCACTCTGTGACAACAATGAGGCAGTTACTTGAAGTTATGAAGTGATTTGATGTGATGCCACTATCCATTGGCCTCTGTACATACTTATCACTTACTTAACATGATTTCTTCACATGTGATGTCTGTCTGTACCTATTTCATAGTTAGGGATTGGCTAGATCGACAGTAATCAAATTTGGTGTGGACATTATGCTACACATCAGTGCTCCACCCTCATATTTCCTAACTTCTTACACTCTGTAATTTGATAGTGGCGGATGCTCGGATTTGTGAAGTGAAATGAAGCTGACGTTATAGTGATGGTATTTTAACAAAACTTAAGCTCTTTGCCTGTGATTACCATCTGTATAAATTTAATAACTCGAGAACGGCTGTGAGACTTTTCATGAAATCTGGTATTGATATTGAGCCATAGGTGACAACTTATAGTTCACATTTTTTATGATCCAACAGTCGGCAATACCAGCATTGCAGATGCTCGAATTCTTTGAGATGGAATAATTGTGATGCCATTACACATGATCCTCTGTGCATATGCATCAGTGGCAAAAGTGGAAAATATAATTTTGTATTAAAAATGGAGTGTCAGCACATAATGTTTTGGCCAGAAACTGGTAGGAAGTGCATTTCTACACCGCAAAACTGGAGCTGAGTTTAAGTATTTAGGTTGATTTGATTCCGTTCTGAGTGGTATTTAACTTGGCGCTTCACATTCACATGCAAAGAAAACAAAATTATTCTTGGTGATGATCAAAGTACCTTTTAATTTCCATTGCATAAATCAACCATGCTGATACCTGTCTCAAATAAGAATTCAGAACTAACAAATGAAAACCATAATGAAGGAAAATTAAGTTGAAGTTGTTTCATTAGTCTTATATTTAATCTCTTAATTGAGTCCATGTGGATATGAATGAAATCTATGGTTGAAGCTCGTGGATTCTGAACATTGTATTAAAGATGCTAGGTCTTGAAGGGCTAATGTACTGTATTTTGTACAAACAACTTGAATGCTTTGTGAAATAATGATGCTTCTAAAATATGTGTTTTTGCAAATAAAATTGTTTGTCTACAATCAGATTTTAACACGGGACCTTTAAATTAGTTATGCTTCTAGCCTTAACAGTTGAGCATAAATAGCTTAATACAGTATTAATGTGACTGATAATACTGATAATTACTTTTTGCTCATTGGACTGTGTATGCTTTGTAGACAAATAACAATTATGTATTCTGTTTTAAATATCGCTTTTTACATATTTCAGTATCCATACCCCAATTCCTCTTTTTATTAATCAGTTCATATGGAAATTTTGAAACATATAATTGAATAATATACAACTGCACAGTTTTAATATATATTTGTGTAAATATAGCATGCATTAAAAGAAAGAAAAAACTGTAATAAATATAATTATTAAGGTGCAAATAGGGTACCAATCTTTGTGTGGCATTTGTTTTTTCTTACTCAGAACTGAGTAACAGTTCTGAGTAAGGTGGTGGGTCGTCAAGTGCAGTGAATGCAACATTCATGTTATTAACAATTATCTTGCCATATTATTTGATACTTTGTAATCTGATCAATTCGTACTATGACACAGAGGAACAACAAATAATTACAAGTGCTACATAAAAGCAATTAGTTGTGGTACATACAAAATAACTTATCTGAGGACATCTTTTCTCATGTAGTAGTCAATCTGTTGTCAGGTTGTTGCCTGTACATGGCGAGTCCAGCTCACACTGCAGTCAGAGGAAGATGATGAATTGCATGATTCAAGAGATGTTTTGGTTTCTCCACGTGCTTTGGCTGCCTGTATGAGAGTTGATTCATTCTTTGCTTCCCGTCAAGTGCCATGTCTCCAAGCAGCAATGAACATCTCTTCGTTGCAGGTACTTGTGAAATTAATAATGATGAACTTCACATTGTTATAGCATAAAGTTTGTTTGTAAATCTGTTTTATAAATATTCATAATTGCCTGTTAGCTTTTCCTGATCTATTTATTTTCCTGTGTAATTTTTACACATGAATTGATTTGATGAGGTTTTTCACATTAAAAAATGTTAAATAATGAATATGCAATAAAATAGGTCTCCCTTACAGACCTCTGTAAAAATATGAAAATCTCAGTCTACTAACTTTATTTGACAAATGATTTTCAATAACAAAACTTACCACCACCATACTTAAATACTGATATGTAAAGGCATTAAAAAATATGCTTCGAAAACCTTGCCTGTTTGATATAAAGATGATGAATTTCCAAGTGTATCTTCATATGTTTGGCTTTAATCATTGTTTTTGTGCAACTGCCAGTAGGATCTACTTGTAGTGTCCTATTCATGTCATTCCAGTTGGCATCTTCTATTGTTACTTTATTAATAATGGAATAATGTTAAATAACATAATTTGAAGAAATTAGTGCTGCTGAGAATTGATTGACTTACATTTGTGTTGTTTAAATATAGTATATCACTGTTTTTGGGAATACATCTCCAATATAAAAGGAAGACTGCATGTACTGTAATTGCTCTGATTCTTCTGTGTGTGTGATTTCTGTAAAACAAAAGCATTAGAATAATGTGTATCACTTGCAGGTTTCTTTGTATAACCACGTGATCTCCAGTAATGCAGGAAAGCCATTACCTCTCCCACTCAAGAATTTCTCTGTAGATCAGATGACTCCTGAGTCACAGTGCTTTATGTCCATTGCACTGGACAGCACGTGTCTGTACGTATGCATGTGGTCAAGTGGGAATGTCAGCATGGTTGAAATGAACAGCCGTGTGCGCTGTGATATCATCGATTATGCGTATCTTACACAGCAATATGCCATTGAGCCCTTTCAGGCTAAAGTACAGCTGACACTGGGTGATACAACTGCTGTTAGTTGTGTTACAAAACCTATAGGAGTGAGATTTGGGCCTGCAATTGGACACACTTTGGCAGTTTCAGCACAACTCTGGGCCCAGGCTTTTCGTAATTGTGAACGGGAAGGGGACACACCAACACCCAGTGAAGAGTACCAGGTAAATTAATTTGTCATGTGATCATTCTTAAGGAGATGTATTGCTTCAGTAAATATGAGGAATTAGCCTATTTCTGGCCCTATTCAGTCAGGTTATAGCTCCAGGGCGTATCCCTTCGTTTGTTGGAAAACAAAGTATTTTAGATGGTGATCTTCTGAATGGTTGTGCTTTGTCATTTCAACCCTGAAAATGGAGACATGTTTTCTTGAAATAGTATTACACAGCCCGAAGACTACACAGTGCAACAACCCAGGAGATTACTACCTAAAAAATTCTGTAAAGTTATTTGATATGTTCATGGAAAACTACTTGTATGTTACAGTTTATCCAAGCAACAGTAAGGAAACTCTCCAACAAATGTCACTAGGAGATTGGAATAAGTCACAAATGATTTCAAGTGCTAAGGCCAGGAATCATATTGTGCGAGGGAACATTTTTTAATCTTTAAGCCAGAAGAGAATTATTGTAAATGCTTTCATGAATTGAATAAAAATTTTCTTGGATATTATCCATCGTCTAGTAAATATAAAACGTAAAACGACGGAGATAGGGATTAGCTCTATCTAGGGGGCCCAACTGTGTAGGAACCTCAAGACGGAGATAGAGTCCCATCTCCGAAACGTCGTTTTACGTTTTATATTTACTAGACGATGGATAATATCCAAGAAAATTTTTATTCAATTGACTCTTCACCATCGTCAAGAAGTTTTAGATCTGCTTTCATGAATGTTTAATGTGTTGTATACAGTTATACAGTGAATAGCATAGCTTGTTTTTACTTGAACAATGGGCAAACTTGACAAAATAATTTTTTTAGTAAAAGAGCCTCAAAGTTGACTGCCATTCTGAGTGCCTCATATTTTATCATCATAATATTAGGCACAATGTGTTCCTTGAAAAGTAAATAGTGAGTCAACTGACCAGGAAACGTTTTGCTATTATGGAACATAAATGTTTGTCATTTTGTTCTTGAAGTCCACTGTTATACCCTCTAAACCATTTGAATTCAGCACTTTTATAACCATTTTATGTAAGATCCATTTTAATATTATTGTCCCAAAGATCTTATCCCTTGAGATTTTCCAAGTAAAATTGTGTTATCTCATCCATTTTGATTTAATTTCCATAATATTAGCAGAACAGTAACAGTTATGAAGCTCCTCATTATATAAATTTCTTCAGTCTGTTGTTTTTTAATCTGCCCTAGTTCCAGATACCTCTATCAGTACTCTGTTCTCTTGAAGAGATGCCATAATTGTATCTAAATATTTTACTTCTATCAAAATAATGCAGAATATATTTTAAATTTCTCACGTTTGGATGAAATTATTTTTGATCTCAGTGTAGTTTGTGGTGTAAGAGATAAACTTGATTAGATATTTCGTGCTTATCATACATTTAAAATAAGTTAGGACGTACATTCATAACATTACCGTTTTGGTTCAGTTGTTAGAATTTGTCCATTGACTTCTGTGAATGGCCTGACTGCTGATTCCCCAGGTGGGTAGAACTTTGGACTACAAAAATATGTGATTCTTTGTGAGCAGTGCCAGTTATTGTTGTCCAGTTTTGATGAACATGTAGTTTACTAGCAAGTTTCAGTAAAACTTCCCAGTGATTGGTTTCATGAAAACACTTTTAGCTCTTTTGTTGGTTTGTGCGTGCATATTTTTCTGGTGCCTTCTGAAGGAATGTGAGTGATAGATTTTGGAGAAGTTCTTCATGCTGTATATGATGTCTGAAGTTTTTGAGATGGTTAGTTTTGAACTAAAGCAACACAAATAATGTGTAGTTAACCCATTATCTTAAATCTCTCTTCAGATTACATCTCTCATCCAATAAGTGGATACTGAAACTCCATTTATGTGTGACCACATGCAAGTTTTTGTTATCCTCCTTAACATAAAGAAATGATGATTGACAGTAAGTTGACTTTAAACAAATTGAAATGTGTTTATTCTCTGCATTACATTTCAATAAAAGATGTACTGTGTTACTAACCTGTGTACATTATCATTTCATACACATTCAGTTAACATATTTTTGCATTACTGCATTTGAAAAATTAATGCCTGTCTTTTGTAATATACTTACTAATTTCTACTACAATGAAACCACACATCAATGAAAACGTGTTAAGGTATCCCTCCTACCACTTTCACAGCCACTTGCCCACATTGGACTGTGTTGTTTGTTGCGTCCTGTACTCAGAGTATTAACCATTTTTGTTGGGTTTATATCAAAATTTCTTTCCTTCCATCATGGCTTCTAAGTTTCCTGTCATTGTAATTACAATTTATTATAATAAGTAAATTATATACGTGTATGTAACATATCTTTATATTACTTTATTAGTAATTATAGCTAAATGTATGTAGTACGTCATTGTATCTCCAATTATTGCCTCTAAATTAATGGAGAATTAATTTTATGTAAATAATTTCATGTGTGGTAACAATTTTCAAGGAGCTTTTTTCTTTCTTTCCTTTTTTTTTTGCGAAGTAATGCACTGCATACAACAAATCATTCTGATGCAGAAGTACATGGAAGTAATCACAAAACAATGTATTAATTTGCGACAGTATTGTAAGAAGAATTAACAGACATGAAATTTAAACTCTGAACTGAACTGAACACATTTTTGTATTTGCATATGTTATATTTCAAAAAGTGTGTATTTATTTTCAGGTCATTGTAAGTCGTTACATTATCTGCAATGACATGATACATCCATTAAGGTTTGGACAGGCACTGACAGATGAAGACATACTTCTGGGTAGCTGTCAGTGCCATTTTTACTCTTGGCGAACCCACAAGGTGAAACAGGTGCTCCGAGTAGGCGTAGAGAAAGGAGCATGGGTGTGGTCTCAACCTTTCTGCATTGATGTCGATGGTTTGCAGCTCTGTGGTTTAGCAGACTGTGGTATGAAAGATATTAGCATTGTTGTCAAGGTTTCATCACTGTCAGCCACTCAGAAACAGGTATGTGCATCAGTAATGAGGATACATTCTGAGTTTATTTTTGTTTAATTTAGTCTTTGTCCAAGAGGCACCTTGGAGAGATGATCTGCTTTATTTTCAGCCTTCTCCTGTTTAACATAGACAAGAACTCGTCAACTATATATTGTTTTGACACAAGAAGGCGATTGGAATGAAATTAGCTACCATTAAATGAACCTGCCAACCATTTAACATATTAATTATTTTTATATGGTGTCATACTTGGATACTTGGAACGACCCGTTTTTCAAGTGCCTGAGCACTGCGGGTCCCAACTTTTTTTGTTGGCTCGATCTATAGACATTCGGTAGGACTCATTGGACGAGGGATCGGCCCGTCGCAAGGCCTCTACCTGTACACAGGACAGCACAACACCGAAAAACGCAAACATCCATGGCTTGAGTGGGATTCATACCCACGATCCCAGCGACCAAGCGGCACAAGGCCCACGCCTGAGACCGCGCGGCCACTGCGGACCCATTTTTTTTTTTCATATTCAGGGTTTAAATATTTGCGAAACGAATGTTGCAATAATCTGGTATTGTAAATTGGTTCAAAAGAGGAAATATAGGCAGACACACAAACAGCATCGTTCTTGTTCATAATTTGCATTCTGGAGTTTCTCTCCACCAGCCCGAACCATCGAGACTTCGTTGGACAACCCTGCATGTCTCCGTGATATGGAGCATTCAGTCGTGAAACGACGAGCACCGCGAGGCTCCAATGGAAGACGCCCGGAAGGAAGGAAGAGAAAATGCGATTCATTTTCACCGCTCAAGTTGGCCGACCTATTTCACACCTCCCTAGCGACTCATTTGACCCTGTGGCTCCAAGTTTCGACGCAAAGTACTTACAGCTCCTTCATCTCTCAACACATTAATCTGAACCTTAATTCAAGTTTAAACCCCCATAATGTTCTACCTCGTCGATTACGTACTTATTTCCACAATATTCATATTCTACACGCGGATTACCAACATTACGAAGTCCATCAATTTCACTTTTCTGTTAACTTTTCAAATTCGTTGTTTGATGACATCAGGCTTACACTTTGATTTATAAGCTGCGAAGAACGCCAGGTGACAGAACAAATACGAAAGCACACAGCGTCCCAATGACAGAGATCAAATGGTTAATGCTATTAAGGAAAGTAAGATCTGTCTATTCTAACAATCATTAGAACTCCACAAACACACTCTTTGTAAATAACGCAGTTACTGAAGAACGTGGTACATACAAGACTATTTCTATCAAATCTAAAACTTCTTGACGATGGTGAAGAGTCAATTGAATAAAATGTTTGGATATTATCCATCGTCTAGTAAATATAAAACGTAAAACGACGTTTCGGAGATGGGACTCAATGTCCGTCTTCAGGTTCCTACACAGTTGGGCCCACTAGATAGAGCTAATCCCTATCTCCGTCGTTTTACGTTTTATATTTACTAGACGATGGATAATATCCAAGAAAATTTTTATTCAATTGACTCTTCACCATCGTCAAGAAGTTTTAGATCTGCTTTCATGAATGTTTAATGTGTTGTATACAGTTATACAGTGAATAGCATAGCTTGTTTTTACTTGAACAATGGGCAAACTTGACAAAATAATTTTTTTAGTAAAAGAGCCTCAAAGTTGACTGCCATTCTGAGTGCCTCATATTTTATCATCATAATATTAGGCACAATGTGTTCCTTGAAAAGTAAATAGTGAGTCAACTGACCAGGAAACGTTTTGCTATTATGGAACATAAATGTTTGTCATTTTGTTCTTGAAGTCCACTGTTATACCCTCTAAACCATTTGAATTCAGCACTTTTATAACCATTTTATGTAAGATCCATTTTAATATTATTGTCCCAAAGATCTTATCCCTTGAGATTTTCCAAGTAAAATTGTGTTATCTCATCCATTTTGATTTAATTTCCATAATATTAGCAGAACAGTAACAGTTATGAAGCTCCTCATTATATAAATTTCTTCAGTCTGTTGTTTTTTAATCTGCCCTAGTTCCAGATACCTCTATCAGTACTCTGTTCTCTTGAAGAGATGCCATAATTGTATCTAAATATTTTACTTCTATCAAAATAATGCAGAATATATTTTAAATTTCTCACGTTTGGATGAAATTATTTTTGATCTCAGTGTAGTTTGTGGTGTAAGAGATAAACTTGATTAGATATTTCGTGCTTATCATACATTTAAAATAAGTTAGGACGTACATTCATAACATTACCGTTTTGGTTCAGTTGTTAGAATTTGTCCATTGACTTCTGTGAATGGCCTGACTGCTGATTCCCCAGGTGGGTAGAACTTTGGACTACAAAAATATGTGATTCTTTGTGAGCAGTGCCAGTTATTGTTGTCCAGTTTTGATGAACATGTAGTTTACTAGCAAGTTTCAGTAAAACTTCCCAGTGATTGGTTTCATGAAAACACTTTTAGCTCTTTTGTTGGTTTGTGCGTGCATATTTTTCTGGTGCCTTCTGAAGGAATGTGAGTGATAGATTTTGGAGAAGTTCTTCATGCTGTATATGATGTCTGAAGTTTTTGAGATGGTTAGTTTTGAACTAAAGCAACACAAATAATGTGTAGTTAACCCATTATCTTAAATCTCTCTTCAGATTACATCTCTCATCCAATAAGTGGATACTGAAACTCCATTTATGTGTGACCACATGCAAGTTTTTGTTATCCTCCTTAACATAAAGAAATGATGATTGACAGTAAGTTGACTTTAAACAAATTGAAATGTGTTTATTCTCTGCATTACATTTCAATAAAAGATGTACTGTGTTACTAACCTGTGTACATTATCATTTCATACACATTCAGTTAACATATTTTTGCATTACTGCATTTGAAAAATTAATGCCTGTCTTTTGTAATATACTTACTAATTTCTACTACAATGAAACCACACATCAATGAAAACGTGTTAAGGTATCCCTCCTACCACTTTCACAGCCACTTGCCCACATTGGACTGTGTTGTTTGTTGCGTCCTGTACTCAGAGTATTAACCATTTTTGTTGGGTTTATATCAAAATTTCTTTCCTTCCATCATGGCTTCTAAGTTTCCTGTCATTGTAATTACAATTTATTATAATAAGTAAATTATATACGTGTATGTAACATATCTTTATATTACTTTATTAGTAATTATAGCTAAATGTATGTAGTACGTCATTGTATCTCCAATTATTGCCTCTAAATTAATGGAGAATTAATTTTATGTAAATAATTTCATGTGTGGTAACAATTTTCAAGGAGCTTTTTTCTTTCTTTCCTTTTTTTTTTGCGAAGTAATGCACTGCATACAACAAATCATTCTGATGCAGAAGTACATGGAAGTAATCACAAAACAATGTATTAATTTGCGACAGTATTGTAAGAAGAATTAACAGACATGAAATTTAAACTCTGAACTGAACTGAACACATTTTTGTATTTGCATATGTTATATTTCAAAAAGTGTGTATTTATTTTCAGGTCATTGTAAGTCGTTACATTATCTGCAATGACATGATACATCCATTAAGGTTTGGACAGGCACTGACAGATGAAGACATACTTCTGGGTAGCTGTCAGTGCCATTTTTACTCTTGGCGAACCCACAAGGTGAAACAGGTGCTCCGAGTAGGCGTAGAGAAAGGAGCATGGGTGTGGTCTCAACCTTTCTGCATTGATGTCGATGGTTTGCAGCTCTGTGGTTTAGCAGACTGTGGTATGAAAGATATTAGCATTGTTGTCAAGGTTTCATCACTGTCAGCCACTCAGAAACAGGTATGTGCATCAGTAATGAGGATACATTCTGAGTTTATTTTTGTTTAATTTAGTCTTTGTCCAAGAGGCACCTTGGAGAGATGATCTGCTTTATTTTCAGCCTTCTCCTGTTTAACATAGACAAGAACTCGTCAACTATATATTGTTTTGACACAAGAAGGCGATTGGAATGAAATTAGCTACCATTAAATGAACCTGCCAACCATTTAACATATTAATTATTTTTATATGGTGTCATACTTGGATACTTGGAACGACCCGTTTTTCAAGTGCCTGAGCACTGCGGGTCCCAACTTTTTTTGTTGGCTCGATCTATAGACATTCGGTAGGACTCATTGGACGAGGGATCGGCCCGTCGCAAGGCCTCTACCTGTACACAGGACAGCACAACACCGAAAAACGCAAACATCCATGGCTTGAGTGGGATTCATACCCACGATCCCAGCGACCAAGCGGCACAAGGCCCACGCCTGAGACCGCGCGGCCACTGCGGACCCCATATGGTGTCATACTGTCAAATAATATTTCTGGTTAATAGAAACCTGCACAATGCTTTATATGCTGTATTCTACTTTATGCATGGTCAGTTAGTACCACTGTGGTGTGCTAGTAACGATGTAAGCACATATTCTTTGTCTTCTTTGATAAGTAATTTCCATACTTATGGGTCAGCTTTTGTGTAGGAGTCTTCAACTGCCTTTATCTTTCCATTCATGCATGTTGTCTACCCTCCTCTGGTCCAATTTTCTCCTCTCTTAATCTCTCTCTTAGTTTAGTCTAGTCATCATGTGCATGGTATGTTCCTGGGTCATCTTCATAAAGTTTGTTTCTTTGTAAGCAGTTTCAAAATATAATACCAGTTTTCTGGTCCTGTTGTAACTTCACCTTGGCTCTGTTAGTTATGTTCCATTTGTACAGAAACTTGTATGTATTTTTTTCTGTCATTATCTTGTAGCATTTAGAGTGTAAATGTGTGTTTTATAAAGAACAGATAGTAGAGTAATATATTTATTTATTTCCGTCAATACACAAACTTAGTTGTTAAAATTGGTGTTATTAAAGCTAAACTTTAAAATTTGGCGCTTATCATCGCTATTACGATGTTACAATTTTAGCGCTCCTTATTTTTATTTCACAACATGTTTCAATGCAACCGCATCATCTTTTTAACAACTAAGTTTATGTATTGACGGAAATAAATAAATATATTACTGAATTAAGCACAAACATGACGCATTTAAACTACAAAGATAGTAGAGACTACTCTTACCTGATACCTTGATTTATTTGTGTTGTTTTATAACTTTCTCCTCCATTTTAATGGTTTTTAGTATGCTTTATTTATGTTCAAAGTAGGAAGACAGTTTCTTGATGTTTTTTTATACTATACAGGTTACTCTGTCAGGCCAGTTGGTTGTCACAAATCTTCTAGCAGAGCACTTAGAGTGCCGTATTTTGCCCATGGTAGATGAGGCTTCTGGGCCTCAAGATGAAGAACAGAACTTTATTGCTGTAGGCAAGAGCACTCCTCCATCAGTGCTCATTGATGCAAACTGCAAGATGACATTGAGAATCAGATTCCATGGGCTGGACAGTGTTTGGTCTGGAGACATTCCCGTGCGAGAGAACTGCAGATCTGGGCAGCCCTGGCTTGTTAAGGTCCCTCTCCATGACAGGTAAAGTAAAAATATTCTCATATTGGTAGTGTTTGAACATCCTAATAAAGTGGTTTTCTGACAATTTTAAGTCTTATAAATGAAGTTAAACGTATATTTATAACCTACAGATAAAATCCTGAGTTCAGGAAGATAAACTCCATTATTCCTATATTCTCAACGTGAATATATAATAAATAAAGACTGAAGCCATCGTACTTGAAAAAGAATTCCCATGTAACAAAATCAAAACATTCCAGTCCCTGAATTTATTGTAGGCTTTAATAATATCAGGTAAAATAATTAGTATATATTGATGGATGAGTTTAGTAACATAAAATATGATTTAATATTTTCTCCAGTAATAACTCAATGTGTTGGTCCTGAGGGTTTATTTACAGTTTAATTATTCTTACACTCAAAGAAAATTCTTAAAAAATTTGCTGTCTTGTATGTAGTGCAAAGAGGACATTATTGTCATTCCGGATGGTACACAGATGTGATGAGTGATGTTTGTTTCATAACAGGGGTCAGTTTTTGAGTGTATGGTGCCGTGTGCTATGCCAGCATATTGGACAAGGTGTGAAGATCCTTGCCATGCTGTGCCCACTTTACATGATCCGCTCATATCTGCCTGTTCCAGCAAAAGTACTAATTGACACACCTGGCCTCAGGGTTCATCTCCAGGTATTGTTTCATATGTAAATGTTTTTAGTTACTTTGTACAGTGTGTTTGCCCTTTCCAATTTTGAATGTTAACAAAATATTGCTTTCTGTTAGTCTTACTTTATTTCTTCCATTTTTGCATGCTTACATGCCTTTTCGCTCTCCCTTGTCATCTATTACTCATTCTGAAAATGTTGTTAATTTGTTGAATTTTTCTAACTGTGATGAATATCGCAAAAAAAGAAAATAAATATATGAAAAGCAGGATGAAGCATGTGGAATAATATCATGAACATAGTTTATGCATGAACATTTCAGTTATTAACAATATGGTGTGCTGTGAGATATCAAATTATGTCTGAACAACAAGAGCGTAATACATGTGGCTAAATTTGTATCTTCCCTTTTTTTTTCACAAATGGAAATTAACTAACTTGCTGTTATCTGTTTCACTCTTGCAGGCAACAGTTCATGGTCGCGGAGAACAACAGCAGCTCTACTGTCCAGGCACAGTGGATCATTCACACAAATTAACATTCCAACTAGAAAATGGTATAACACCTTCTAATCCGTATGTTCCGTTATCATACACAGTGATAGATCAGCGCAAGTTTTTAAAAATAGATGATAAAGATGTTGATATAAATGCCATCGTGGCATCCCTAAGTGAAGTCAAGACTCCAGTCTGGCCCTTTGTAGGGGAGGAATATGCAAATGTGTCATGGATATCAGCAGAACAACCACAGACAGATGTGCAAGTGAGTATTCGTTATGTCTGTGTTGGCATGACCTTCATGTCTGGGTAAGGTATATTTTTATAAACCAGGGTTATATAAATTTTGTTTGCAGTGCATTTTATATTGCCCCATGTGGACCTGTAAGATTGACTGAGTACAAGAGAAAATTGTCAGTGCTAGAGAAATTTTCTAGGATGATGGCAGTGATTCGTAACACAAGAAAATTAATGAAGATCTACCATTTTATAAGGAGTAGCTTTTAGGAATATGCCTTAAAAAGAGTATCAGCATAGAATTTGGGTTTGTTATAATCCTGTCATCATTACATATAGATTTAAAACCTTGTGTATTGTAATTTAATTAGCCGTGGAAGTAAGTAATTGAATAACCTGTAGTTATGTGTTTTTTCAGGTGAAATATGTACCGCAGGGGCCGTTCTGTAGTACATTGCTTGTGGAATTACAGCCATGGGCATTGTTGGTCAATGTGGTTGGTTATCCTATTGTCCTTATAGTAGAAGAACGTACTGTCTGCAGGTATTTAATCAAATATTTCAGTAAAACTTTAATATTTTCTTATTATTTTTAGTTAAAATATATTTTGTAATGTTGTACATTGTTTGTCGTGCAAACTTTGTATGCATTGTTAATGTCAGTCATGAGCCCTTTTACAGCCTGGCATATCGTGTTTTAAGTTTTATTCTCAATCTTACTGTCAGACCTTTTACAATCTGGCTTGTGGGTTCTAATTTTATCAGACGTCAAGTTATGAACTTTGTAATTTAATTTTATGCAGGATTAAACAGCCTTAGAAGTTGACATGCCACTAAACCCACACAAGTGTTTGTGCATGAATGCGCACAAGAAACAGAAACACACAAAAAAAAGCACAAAAAAAAACACACAGTCTAGGCTGTGCTATTGTTTTATTGTCTAGTTTGTGTTTGATTAATGTTCAGATTCTTGCAGAAAAATTTTGGATTTTATGCCTGACATTGGTGACCCAATTGCTGTTGTTTTGTTGATTGAAAGAAATTTTGGTTTATAAATATATTATTCACAAATAAGAATGATACATCCACTAATAGATAGTAAATACTGATTATCGTTTTCCTCAGGGTGCCACATCAAGGTGTTGTCACACCTCCAAAACTGGAACATACATTCAGCCTGGGTATGGATGTTGGTGACATAGTCCACGCATCACCACCTCTCCAGTTAGCTCGCCCTGACTGGGGAAATAGCTTCTATATGCCTCGTATCTCAGGCCTCTTACCAAATTCTGGAAATGTGCAGACAGTAGTGCAGTATGGAAAAACTCTAGGTTACCTGAGTATTGCTTCAAAGATTGTGGAGGAAATGAGAGTGATTACTGTGCGAGCCAAGTACATTATCTGTAACCGAACATCTCTCAACTTACAGGTATCGTTTAGTGATATCCATCTGAGGCATTTTATACCGCAAGAGAAGTGCAGACTTTGGCATTTGTAATTAAAAATAATTTAGATCCATGCATGCGTGCAGTGTGTACTGTGTGACTTCTTATATATACAGTTACTATAAAAACCACTAGTAAGATGTGCGGAACCACAAGATTTGCCAACACAAATACAAAATGTAGATCCTGATTACACTCTGTTGCCCCAATTGATCCAGTATATATCATTTTCATATATTCATTAAGGTTCATTTTAATATTTTCTTCTTCTTTCTTCATTAATATTCTTAATGGAACTGTTGTTTATCATAAAACTTTGCATACTGTGTAGTGTATTAGAATATAAAATAAGCAAACAAACAAACTTTTAACACTATAAAAAGACACTAGTGCCATACGCGTTTCAACCTCAAGAGGTCATCATCAGTGGCAACAGGGAAATTAATTAATTTAATCAAAATGGTTTAAAAATAGTTTAGAAAACAAATAATGCAGTAGAGTATTTTAGAAAAGCATATCAAGCAACGCTACACTGGATGTTGGTATTCACAGGAGTTGAACTCTGCATTTGGCTGGACGACGCAACCACGGCTCGCTGCAGACCAGCTACGGCCACCGGACCATTGGATCAATATTAAGTTCATAGTTCAACTCCTGTGAATACCAGCATCCAGTGTAGTGTTGCTTGATAAGTTGGTATTCACAGGAGTTGAACTCTGCATTTGGCTGGACGACGCAACCACGGCTCGCTGCAGACCAGCTACGGCCACCGGACCATTGGATCAATATTAAGTTCATAGTTCAACTCCTGTGAATACCAGCATCCAGTGTAGTGTTGCTTGATAAGCTTTTGTAAAATACTCTACTTCATGATTTGTTTTCTAAACCATTTTGATTAAATTAATTAATTTCCCTGTTGCCACTGATGATGATCTCTTGTGGTTGAAACGCGTATGGCACTAGTGTCTTTTTATAGTATTAATAGTTTGTTTGTTTGCTTATTTTATGTTGTTTATCAGATTCTGCAAGCATATTTTTTAAATAAGAAAGAAAATTGTAGAATTGGTAATAATTTAAATTGAGGTACTGTAAACACTGTGGTAATACAGGATCAATTTTGCCCTTAAGCAACACTTCAACAAGCTTCTAAACGTCTTACATAACATAACTTCTAAACATGCACTAAACTATAATCTTGAATTTATGTATGTGTGTGATGTGTTGTAATTCATGTTTATAACTTGAAAGTTAACAGTAATTCAGTGTAATTTTTTATCTAGGTATCAGCATTGGTAGTTCGGGAGTCTGAAAGGCATTCATATTTTCTAACACAAGAGGAGCAGAGATGTGTGCATATAGTTCTTCCAGACACAGAGGATAAGAGCAATATGGGCAGGCCCATTGCTCAGTGGGCTCTGCTGGGGAAAGAAGAGGGCGAAGGGGAGCTCGTTCCATACATAATGCTGAACAGTGGTGCAGGCTGGAGTTGTCCGCTTTGGGTCAATGATGGAATAGTTCGTCACAGTTTTAGCATTCCTATTCCAATGGATAGTGACGGTGTGAGTAATTGTGCCTACGTTCTGACAGTTCAAGAATATTTGGGCCAGGTTTTCTTGTCAGTGTATCCAGAAATACATCCTCAGATCACGCTGCATAACACATGCAGCTTCAAGATTCTGTGTGCTCAGGGAACTCCAGACAACGATGGCAAAGCCGTTGAAGAGACTTCCAATTTTGATTGGTGGTGCAGCGTAGCAGCTCATAGTAGTGCACATTATAGCCTTCCGGCTGCCTCAGAAAGATTTCCAGACATTGTCTCTCCTGGAAACTGGCCTCCTTTGGTTCTGGCATTGTCTGATTCATTCCCTCAAAGAGAGGGTACTTTACTTTGGTCCAGAGGAGTCAGTATCACGGAGACTCAAGAGCAGTTTGTACGACTGCCTGGTCACGGTGATGTGAAGATCCGGATTGAGGTTGTTTGTCATACAACGCACGTAACAGTGGAAACTGTGAGTCATGTTGAGATATCTGCTCGTGATATTCGAAGCAGACTGATGCGTCATCAAGAAGACACAGAACCTGCCGTTGTGGAGATGTTATTCCATCATGCCTCACTTCCCCAGTCAAGAACTTCATGTGCTTCACAGTATCTGTCTGCGTCAGATTCTTCACAGATGGAACTTGGACATAAAATGAGTGACACAAGCTTAATTAGTGCAGGTGATAACAAGGGTTACTTTCCCCTGGGTCATACAGTGACTAAATTACAAACTCACGAGTCCACAGCCTCATCGACGTCCATCCTGCCGACTGTTGCTGACCACCGTAACATTGTTGTGGAAGAACTTCTGGCACCAAACATTACAAAACATTTCCACGCTACCTTTTTCCTGAGAGGGATTCACGTCACCCTCACTCAAGACATTCCGAAGCCGAGATCTGAGAGAACTGAAATTGTTCTTCTTAGTCTTGATAATGTTTGTATTTCTGTGAAACCTCAGTTCGTACGAGAAGACTCTGAAGAGTTGAATGTTTGTGTTACTATTGGAGATTTACAGTTAGACAATCAGATGTTCCAGCGTGGTGGTTTTGACTTCCCAGTTATTCTTATTGGCCAAGTTCCAAAACGTAATTTGGGCTGTGGATTCTCCCTGTCTGTACCTGCATCATGTCTGATGGAACAGTTTTCATCAGACTCCCTTATCGTGTTCAATGCTTCCCTTGAGATGTTAAATAATGGAGAGGGTAGTTGTAGTGTCATGAAACAATTGAAAGTATCATTTGGACCACTTTGTGCATATATTGAAGATACCCTCATAACAAAGTTGACTGAGTATTTGACGTGCCTTCTGCCTACTACGTTAATTCTGTCACCACCATCAGACAGTGGTTCCAGTCTTCCACCAAGTGCATCGTTGGTTCCCATACCTAAGATCACTTGTTGGGACTCGAGACAGGTGGCCTTTCCTCTTCGACTCCGCACGCTGACAATTCAGCCTCTGTCCTTGCTTCTTAGTGTTCGTACTTCGGTGAAGTTGTACATCGCGTTGGATCATTCACCCTTGCAGTTCTCTGCCTTTGAACGATCAACTTTGATCACAACTTCGTATCAGTTGGGACATACTTTAACGATGCATTATTTATCAGGAGCCATATTTGGAGCTGGTTGGATGGTAGGTTCACTGGAATTGTTGGGCAGTCCTGGTGGGTTTGCTAGAACGTTAGGAACTGGATTACGAGATTTTGTAAGTCTTCCGTATCATGGGATCTTTGAGGGACCATGGGGATTTCTAGTTGGTGTTACCCATGGTTCGGCTTCTCTAATGAAACATGTGACAGCAGGAACCCTGAGCTCAGTAACTAAACTAGCGGCCAGCGTGGCCCGAAATCTAGACAGACTGACCCTTGATCAGGAACATCTGGCAAGAACTGAAGAACTGAGAAGACGGCGGCCACAGGGCGTTACTCAGGGGCTACTTCAGGGACTAACAGGATTGGGCATTAGTTTGTTGGGAGCTGTAGGAGGAATTGCACATCACCCCTTGCAATCAGTGATGAGTGAGGGAGCTTCCACTAGAGGTCTTGTAACGGGAGTGGGGTTGGGATTGGTTGGAGCTATCACAAAACCACTGAGTGGAGCTGCAGAATTGGTGGCTCTTGCAGGACAGGGCTTGCTGCATGGGGCAGGGTGGACATCTCTCCCAGAAATGAGGCAGCAATCTGTCACCGAGTACGCGTTCTCGGGTGCCAATTCACGGCTCAAGTACAGCTGGAAGTTGATAGCAGAACTTGGAGTTGGCAGTCACTCACTGTTACACGTGACTGAAGCCACCGGCCTTACTCCTTCAGGTTCTTATGAAGCTGTTGCTTTGGTGCTTACCACACGGGCACTCTTTCTGGTGGACACAGAGGAAGATGTAACAAGGCGAGTTCTTTCTTTGGCAGAGGTTTCGGGCATGGAACACGCGTCTGATCCTACACTGCTGTGTTTTCGATTTCAGACGGCAGTGGAGATGGAAGCCGCTTCTCGCGCTCGCGTCGTGGATTTTGTTCGACACAGCTCGGGTATGGTTCCTGATATTGCTCCTGATGGTGCACAGTCTGAAGCTGAGTCCTCATTCTCTGGCAGCCCCATACTTTCAGAACCCCCAGGCTCAACTGATGCTTCACTCATGTTTTATGTAAATCCACAGTTAAGGAATTACTTTCTGTCTGTTCTTGCCCTGGCTAAACGTCAAAGTGAGGGACGAGGATTTGCGGTCCTTTAATTTTACATTCATTGTTTCGAACAATATTACATTTATCAGTATTTTTGTTGGTTTTTAGTCTTTTGTTATATTTTTGAAGGATTGTGAGTGATGTTGGGGTACAAATTGTGTTGGTCTTTTGTGTGCTTCTTGGATCGTAGTTTATAGTAGCGTGATCTTCATCGTGAAGAAACACATAAATTTGAAACTGTCTGCAGAAACCGCAGTCCATGTCTTCTGGTCATCTGACATCTGCTGTAGTGGAAACTGAAATAAGTAAAACTTCTTGAGGTCATAAAAGGTATCAAGAAAAGAAAACAGTGGGTTAAATTAACGAAACCACAGTTTTATTAATGTGTGACGCTTGTCAGTGTGAGATTTTTAATTTTCAGTAATTTGGTAAGACAATGTTTTCATTTTTTGGATGTGGATAATGATATGGAAATTTGAAATTTGCAATAACTCTTATTTATTTTACAAGTACCCTTTGCATATCTACAGAGCACAGAATTCTTTTATGGTCTACTGTGTCTGTGCACGTTTATCGTGCTCTGGAACTTTGAACCTTCCTCGTACTCTGATTAAATCTGAGAGATGTATATGAGACTTTACAATTTAGGCCGTTGTCACGGCAGCAAAGATTTTGATTGGTGGAGATGATGTGTTTTGCCAAAACATCGCTGTCTACCTGCAGGTGCACACGGTACAACCCAGGGGTTGTTGCTTCGTGTAGTCTGGTCGAAGTTAACCAACGATTCAGAGGTCATACTGCCTCCGTCATCAGGACGACCGCAACAACCCAGAAGACAAATGTTGACAAAATAGGCTACACCAGCCAGTTAGACCTGAAGGAACATTTTATAATTATCTTGTTACATGAAAAAGTATTTGAGACAGAAATTATTGGCCTTGCTGTGATATATAGTGTGAGTGATTGTGCATGTGCATTTGTAAGTCTGCATACAGATAATTTTTTATTGAATAACTTGGTTTAATGACAATGGGCAAACTGCTTGGCTCGTGAGTGGCTCTTAACATTCATGATGGAAGTCTCAGCCACACCCTGCTGATAACGTATCTCTGATTTCGGTTCATGAGCACTTCAAGTTGTGCATTCGAGTCTGTAGTCAAATGTGTTTTCAGTAGTAGATTTCATATCCATTTCCTAGAATTTTGCTGGCCCAGGACAGGGACCGGTGGAGGGCTTCGGTTAATTCTGTGATGAACCTTTGGGTTCCCTAAGCCCTCTAGTTAGTCAGTTCCTAGAATTGTGACTTCAGCTACATGTCAAGTTGTTTGCTGCATTGGTATGTGTTATGTGTGCACGTACTGGCATTATGGGGACAGAGTTTGATTTTGAAAATAACAGCTTTGTTAGTTGCTTTAAATGTTTATCTTTTCACTGTTTTTGAGTTTACTGTATGAAAAATATATTACTTTTTTGACCATTACGTTCTTATATGCTACTGGGGGTGAATATGTTCTCCACCAACACTTCCCTACATCCAGTTTTGAATTTAGTGTGGGTTTTAAAACAGTAGAATTTTGAGAAACTGTAATCATCTCTGGAGTATATTCACAAGCTGAAGCTGTTTATTTTCATACATTTCTCGACAGAATGTGACTAGCGCATTTCCTTAATTTTGTACACAAGAAACATTTTCAGTCTATTTTCATCTTGTGCATTTGGATATCCTTGTTACTGCAACGTTATTCTCGTTAAATCACAACTGCTTAATTTGTGATAAAGTCTTACTGAAAATAGCTCACATGTTGTTTCCATGTTGTGGTTAGTTACATATTTTTCCCCACTCTTGCTACGGAAACAGGCTTCAAGCAATATAAACTATACTAAAAGTTCATCCCTCCTTGAAGCTTGCGTGACGCCTGAGGTAGATGTCGCGTCAGAATCGAAAGAAACTCTTCCAGCAGAAAGTAGAATGTTCTCGGCGCTAAATCGAAGCAGATAATAAAGAGTTAGAAGGGTGGACGGGCGCGCGGAAGAACAGAAATGAAAGCACACAGCAGAAGTTTCACAATCCCTTCAAGACCAATTATGATTCGGACAGCCAGCTCACACTGTGAATGCGTAAGTGACATTAGCGACAGCAATATTTGTGTCTGTTGTAAGAATAAATAAGTGCAGATTAAATTAGGGGAATGTTTGCTACTATGTAACTTAGAATCTGTTGTTTTCCTGTTTGCTGTCTAAAAACGTAAATATCAAAATATACAAAAATAACTTTGTCTCTCTTGATAAGGGAAGGGTCCTCTATTCTTTGAAAACAGGGTGCTTAGAATACCTGAGAGAGTTGAAATTAGAAACGCCTTGGAAAATTACACAATGATGAGCTTCATAATTTGTATTCTTCACTGAATGTTATTAAAATTGTCAAATCAAGGAAGAGGATATGAGCAGATCAAGTAGCGAGCACGGAAGAGATGAAAACGTTTCTAATTATTTTGTAGAATGCCTAGGCAAAGATAGGATAATATTAAAATGGATCTTAAGGTCATGCGTTTTGAACCTGTGGGCTGAACTGATATGGTTCAGGGTAAAGACCAGTGGAGGGATCTTGTGAACATTGCAGTATACTTTCAGGTTTCGTAAAAAGCAGAGAATTAAGCTTGCTGAGAGACTATCATCTCAAGAAGAACGTTGCTCCATCGAGTTGCCTCTTACAAGAGAGAGTGAAGCAAGAAGAATTACAACCCATGGTACACACCGCACCTTAATGTTAAGGTGGTTGTCTTCTGGGATGTTGCACCGTGTAGTTGATGCTGACGGACGTTTCAGAGGAGTTTCCTGCCTCCATCATGGTCAGTCTTGCAGAATACACGATGCGATGTCCCAGGAGACAGACATCTTAAAAATAATCGCCGTGAGGAACCGAAATCCCACACCTCAATTTGTTTGTCCCACTTTAACATCATTCATCCTTGATCATAATCAGTGACGTGAAAAGTATGACTTCAAAATCGATCTTTTAGGATTTTCCTATTCACTATAAAGGGGTCGACATTAAGCATACTGCAATATCGACAGTGGACGTTCTGGGATTTGAAATGTTATCGTCCGCTGTTGCAGAAAACTGCTATTGGCGTAATGTTGCATGCTAGTTGACTGACCGACGACACAATAATAATAATCAAATTGAGTTGTCATAATGATTGAAGAGTTAATAATCCAGCGGATGGTTTTATGACTTGGAGTGGGGTTCCAGCGCTTTAATCGCAGGAAGTTTTGCCATGAAGAGAGGACAGGGAAATGATCTCTAATTATTGCAGCGACAGACTTCCTGAGGAACAGTATCACCCAACTTACATAGTTAATAGGTACCAGCTGTGGGCCTGTGTTGTTTGTACGAGGACTGTGTCACCTTGCGGCTGGTACAGCACAAGAGGGAGTAGGGAGGAACATGATATGAAGACAAAGAAGTAGATTGCCAGCAACTTGGTTTGATTGAAGGCGGACGCAGCTCTTGCGCTGCAGAAATTACTTGAAAAAATTTCGTAGGTTATTTAACGACGCCATACTATCTGCCTGCGGAAAAGAGCAGTACTTAAAATGCCTCAAGTGAATTAGGTCGTATAAATCGAAGGATAATATTAAACTGCAGCTTAACTCAAAAACAGGGCTGAATAATGTGGCTCAGGGTATGGTCCAGTGGCGAGCTGTTGTGAACACGTTAATGAAGCCTTCGTATTCCACGAAAGGCTGCAAATTTCTTGTCCCGCGGAGCGACTATCAGCTTTTCAAGAAGAGCTGCACTCCATGGCGCTAGATAAGGTAGCTACATAGAGTGGTAAGACTCTTTATACAATAAATCGAAGTTAATAGTTTGAGTTTACTGGAAAGTCGTAGTTACAGGCGTATCATGAAACATTTCTTAGATTTATGATTTAGTAGGCTTTCCTAGAATCACGAACATTGTTTGTAGCTCGCGTTTATTTATTCCTTTTTTGTAAATAGGTCTATAATTCGTATTCCTTTTCGCATTCGTTTTCTGTAATGTATTTATAAGAACATAACAGTCTAATAAGAGAAGCATCCGCTCCTGTGTTCCGAAATTGACACCAGTGTTTCCTGGACCAGTACGTGCATGCACTCCCACACGCCGCGAAAGTCCTGATATTTTCAAACTGCATAATGTATTTTTATTCCCCTATTCCCGTCCTACCTCGCCCCAACGTTGCATATTTAAAATGAAACAATTACTGCTGTCATTTTGTACAAGCGCGCTCACGCGGTAGCACAAGAATTACGCGCCATTAGGTTACAAAAATAAGCCTGCGTCTAAATATGGGACTAAACAGAGCCGGTTAGTTAATTTGTGAGCTATAATTTTTACGCTGCCAAAAAGCGTGCTGGACATGTGTCTTATCGGCATGGGTGTTTTCCTGTGTTGTATTTTTAATAACGTTTCATCAATAAAGCGTCAATGTATATTAATCAGCAATGTCGTTTGACGCTAATGTAATTCGACATGGACGTCCTGTGTTCCTTCCGACAATGATATTTGTGTTGAAAGATGCCTGTAGACGGCAAATAAACCATATTAAAACTACTGGTGCTGCAATAACAGGCTTCATATAGATCTTCTGTCCCTACTACTAATAACCAGATAATCAGTTATATTTTTCCTCTGATTACTCATTATATTATGTGTGTAGGAATAGACCATCATACAGTGTTAGGTACATTCTTGTAATAGCAGCATATGAGACAGAACTTCACATGAAAACGTTCTGTTAATGCAATTCGGTAAATACAGTAGGATGGTCTGAGATTGACTAATGATTATGCCGCTGATGAATATGGCAACCGTGATGCTGATAATACCTCTAACCTAACCCGAAGGAAACAGATCAGATGAGAAACCTAGGTGTAGAATATAGTATAATATTAGGTGTGGTTTGAGGTTTTCGTGACGAGCATCAATATGGCTGAAGATTTCCGTCTTCTGGATTGTTGCGCTGTGTAGTCTGGTCGATATTAACCGACGTTTCAGAGGTCATACTGACTCCGTCATCAGGGCGATTTATTGCAGTATGACCTCTGAAACGTTGGTTAACATCGACCAGACTACACAGCGCAACAACCCAGAAGACATAAATCTTCATCGCCCTGATGAAGGAGGCAGTATGACCTCTGAAACGTTGGTAACCATCGACCAGACTACACAGCGCAACAACCCAGAAGACAGGAATCTTCATACTCACCGCTGTGAAAACCTCAAGTCTTACATGAATATGGCTGTCTTCTGGGATAAATCAGCGTGTAGTCTGGCAGATACTAAGGGATGTTTCAGGGAATGCTATTGCCACCGTCGTAAGGGTTATCTCAGCATGCGAGTAGACTTAGACTGAGTTTAATTTTCTCATCGTCTGTTCTCAAATATATTTCCTAAACATACTACATTAGGCTACTTAAAGTGTCTAAACTGTAAAAGTTCTGAGTTGCAAGCAAGAATTGTCGTGACCACGCAGTGAGATTAATGCTCAAATGATTGTGGCAAAGAGAGAGTAAAATTTGAAACGGTTTAAGTCCGATGCAGTAGACAAGCCATGGGCGCGCGAGGCTTTTGTGTGGTTCATGAAATATTCAGGCGCCACTTAAGGTAATGAAATAGCAAGTTAGGCACACGACTTCGACGCCTCGCCACCCGCTACTGGATTAACGTGTCTTTGTAGCGTCTTGTAGCGACGG